AATGGCGGCTGCGGCGCCATTACTCGTGGTAGGTGAGACGAGCGGGCGTGTGGTAGGTGAGGAAGCTTCCATTAATGTAAATAAAGTTTGTTAAAAAGAAATATAAGAAATGTTTGTTCAAAACATCATGGCTTACCGACATGAAATATAGGTTTGTTAAACACTAGCACTCCCCCTGTTTATAGGTTTGTTAAACACTAGCACTCCCCCTGTAAATAAAGAAATATAAGAGTGTTTGAATCACTACTTTAGTGATCTAAACACTTTTATATTTCTTTACAGAGGGAGTATATGTTATGGCTTTACTCATGTTTCTCATTTCTTAAAAAGGAAGATTTTGTTCCCCTTGTTTTGATATATCCGTAGCCTATAGCAATTCACATCCATTACTTCTCATATCATCAGCATCAGAAATGAATACTGAAGATGACAAGCAGACTGTTCTAAGCACGTTACCCAAGGACCTACCTCTAGACTTCTTGAAGACCATCACAGATCAGTTCTCAGACAACCGGGTTATCGGTAAAGGTGCATTTGGAACAGTTTATACGGTATGTTCATGCCTTACATTTTCTGCCATTTCGAAAAGTGGTGCATATTTCTGAATAAGTGTCTGTGTGGCTGAACAGGGAACTATGCCTGATGGGCAAACGATTGCTGTGAAGAAGCTTGCGGAAAATGCGCCGATTGCACGCGATAGAATATTTAATAACGAAGTTCAAAACATCATGGCTTACCGACATGAAAATATAGTCAAGTTGGTTGGGTTTTGCCATGAAGGACAGAAGAAAGTAGTACTGAACAATGGGCGATATATTGTCGCAGATGTTTACGAAGGTCTACTTTGTTACGAATATTTACCTAAGGGAAGCCTTCAGAGGAACCTCTTTGGTATGTGACGCTTCTGATATAGTTTTTATCTTAGTTTCATCAAATATTTATGTTCTTCTGTTCTCTTCCTTGAGCTATTAAATCTTAGGTACTGAAATAACTTGCTCCCTAACTTCAGATAAACCCATCGATATGGCATGGGACGTCTGCTTCAAGATAATTAAGGGGATATGCGATGGTTTACATTTTCTTCATAGCATTCCTCTTATCCATATGGATTTGAAGCCTCAAAATATATTGTTGGATGATAACATGACGCCGAAAATATCGGATTTCGGACTTTCCAGGCTATTTGGCAAAGAACAAACACGTGCGAATACACAGAATGTTGTGGGATCATAGTAAGCTAACTGGAGCTGTCATGATATTCTGTGGTTAATTGCATTTTCACCTTCTAGTAATGCTTATTTACTGCCAACTGTATGCAGCGGATACATAGCTCCAGAATACCTATACAGAGGTGAAATCTCCACTCAGTCAGACATTTACAGTTTAGGCTTATTAATCATCGAGACTACCACTGGCGAGAAGAATACCCCCAAACAGAACGAACCATCAGCAAGGGAATTTATTGAAAGAGTAAGAAAGAATACTAGATGTTGATTTATGTGAGAGTTTATTTTTATAGTCACCTAGGATAACAGTTCGAATTCTTAACATAGGTACGTCAAAATTGGACAGAAGGGCACATAGCATCCATATACCAGTTAAATCCAAATGCCCTCCAGGAAGTAACAGTATGCATTGAAATTGGTCTAGAGTGTGTGGACGTTGATTGGAAGAAGAGACCTTCCATCGAAAGCATTGTTGAGAGGCTCGGTAGATGCTGTGCAAACCTGGTATGAAAATTAACTGTGGACTGGATCAAAGGCTCTGTATAGTTTCTTGCAAGTGAATAGGAGGAACTTCTGTCTTCTGATTTCTTTCAGTAGTTTGGCTACTTTTGAGAAACCTACCACTGAAATTGTTCGCCTGATGCCTATATACTAAAGTTTCAAATGGCGGAATTCCACAAAAGTCCATGTGTACATTTTGAAATCTAGGTAGTTATGTACCCTCCAAAATATATATTAATTGTTCAAATTGGACTATGGATGGGATCGAGATGGATCGTGACAATCCGTTTGTCTAGCCAGCCAGCCAATTTTATTCAATTTTTGCGGCTAGTTTTTCACAACGGATAGTAAAATACATTCACCACAACAAAAAACAACCGCACAATCTGAGTATTAAGGTTCTGCGAACTTTTTCTCGTGATGTTACCTGATGCATTCACACTATCTGCCTGTCATGGCCAGTTAGGTTGCATTAGGCTTTCAAAGAATAGATTCTCGTGATTTGCAGCCCAAAATGCTTCGATTAAGATATTAGTAACCCATATTTTTCTAGGAGGGAACATAATCACATGTGCATGCTTGGTTCCTTTGGTTTTTGTCGGCTATCCATATTTTACTTATAGTGTAGATTTGTCACTGTTACTATGTTTTTTACCATGTTTACATAATTACATATAGCTTATGTTGCATTTAAGCTATTGTTGGTAACATATCCTCTACAAAAATTCAGGTCTCCACCACTTCCATGCGAACGTGAAACTAGGGTCTTCTATTGATGAAAGAAGGGCAACATGGAAGAAAAGAACTTTCTCCGTCATTACTATAGTGAATTTATTTCTGAAAGAATCATTTGTGTTGTCACGTCACCGTGGAACTTGTTAAATTTATTATGATAAATGATATTCCATTATCTCCTATAGTCCATTGTTTTATACTCCAAACAAATGCAATGTTGTTTTTTCTGTTCAGTGCGGTTTGAAATAAGAATTGAAATTTCTCCAGTTGATCAAACATGAGATCCCTCTGATCGATCAAACATGAGATCCACCTCGGTATCAACGTCTCCATAGGCAAAGAAGAAGGGCATATTCTGGCTAGCCTCATGGCTTGGTAGGGCTCCTTTACGGGCCAAATTCCCTAGCTTGTTTGTGATTTGCTTGGACCCAATGCTTTTGGTAGCCTCTGGCGCCTACAATTGAGTTTGGAACATCCTGTTCCGACGAACATTTGGCCCTGAGGAAACCTCGGCCCTCACAACGGCATTGTCAGGATCTTTGGATGTTGTGTCTTGGCACCTGCCCCATTGGCGTTTTTCTCTACTGGTTCGGCACATTGGGCCTTATGTGGTCTGCCAAACCTTATGTGGAGCATTCTCTTGTGGAAAGCATCACTTCTGATGAAGATCAAGATTTTCGTATGCTAGCTTCTGCGCGACAGATATGGAGGTGGCCAAACAGCATGGACCCGACGATAGTCTGTGCCCCTTTTGTGGTGTCCCCGATTTCGAGGCTAACATTTTCTTCTCTCGTCCCGTTGTTCACTTCCTTTGGAGCGTTTCCATGATGGTCTGGGTACTAAGTGGCAGGCTCTGTACTTGGGTGAGTTATTGGAAGCTCAAACCAACTGTGCAAGTAAGAGGAGGCATCTCTTCTGGCTAGTGTCCGCGGCAGTGACTTGGACCCTTTGGACTACCCGTAACAAGAAAAGTGTTCCGCCTTAGAGGGAAACAACTGCGCTCACTGAGTGGTTTAACCTTTAAACAAAGTAGGAAAGGGATTTGTGTCTGAAAGCTTTGACCAAGAGTTTACCTCCAAAATGATTTTTTTTTCACTGTGGGCAGGCAATGTATATGTGTTTTGCTTGATCCCCAACTTCCTCGAACTGTCTTGACCCCTCCTAATAGTGTAGATGTTCTATGACTCAAATTAAACGGAAAGACCTTCAAGTATTCGAAAACTGATGTCTTTTTCCTTTTTGAAATAGGGGGTCAAACATGTGCGTAGAAAATCACCTAGAGACCAATGCACTGAGATAAACTTGATAGACGACTTTAGTTCACTTTCAATCACCAATGGTCATGTTGACATATTTTCAACTCTGTCCAATATCCTTTTTCTGGCCATGGCAGCATGGACATTGAGGAGCCCCATGATTTGTTTCACCGCAAACCCAGCAAGGACCCTTCTCTGTGTTTCTCCTTTTTTGGTCATTCTTCCTTTTGAAGTTGGTAGTTGGAGACTTTGCTCTTTCTCTTGAACTTGTGGGAATGTATGTGCACCACATTGGTAACAACATGTCCCTCTACTCCTTAGGTCGTGTATCATTTGCCCTTACCTTCTCTTCAACATCCAAAGATCCAATGAGGCTCTCAGTAGAGAAGTGGAAAAGATCCTTCAAGGAGGAAGCTTAGCAACAATGCTCACATCAACAAAATTGTTGGTAACACACACTTAATGAGCTCGGGTTCCTTTGCCACCCACTGCAGCTCATGAATTTGTTCGACCATGGAACAGTTCTCAACCATTCTCTATGCCATACTGTTCACCACCGACATCAGTGGAGCCAAACTTGGGTTCAAATGCAAACAACAACTTTTTCACACCCCACGTATGCAAATATGCATCAACTAAGTTGTCACCCAACACATTGGTGACAACACACACGCAAAGATTACAATGGCCTCAAAAAATGCTTTGTCCTATTCAAGAGTAAGCGGCCCTCTTAGAGTGCTAGCCAAAACCTAGTACATGTTCATTGCAACGAGCCACAAGAAGGTTTCGGTCTGCCTTCTTTTGAAACAAGCACCTGTAAACGGGCTCAGTTTCACCACATGACATATGTGGTAAGCAATTCAAACTATTCCAAAAATGGGCTCAGTTTCAAAGCAACAACAAAGCCAGTCAATGTTAGGAAATTAACCAGTTTTTGGTTAAGCTTAATCCATATTAGCACCAACACAAGATTACTTACATAACAAATCACATATGACAAACTAGGAACATCCAACATATACTCATATGGGCCAAAGGCATGATACGTCTCCAACGTATCTATAATTTTTGATTGTTCCATGCTATTATATTATCTGTTTTGGATGTTTAATGGGCTTTAATTTACCTTTTTATATTATTTTTGGGACTAACCTACTAACCAAAGGCCCAGTGCAAATTGTTTTTTTCCTATTTCATTGTTTCGTAGAAAAGGAATTCAAACGGAATCCAAAAGGAATGAAACTTTTGGGAGAGTTATTTTTGGAACAAACATGATCCAGGAGACTTGGAGTGGACGTCAAGAAATAAGCGAGGAGGCCACGAGGCAGGGAGGCGCGCCCAGGGGGTAGGCGCGCCCTCACCCTTGTGGGCCCCTCGTAGCTCCACCGACGTACTTCTTCCTCCTATATATACCCATATACCCCGAAAACATCCAGGAGCACCACGAAACCCTATTTCCACCGCCGCAACCTTCTGTACCCGTGAGATCCCATCTTGGGGCCTTTTCCGGCGCTCTGCCGGAGGGGGAATTGATCACGGAGGGCTTCTACATCAACACCATAGCCTCTCTGATGATGTGTGAGTAGTTTACCACAGACCTTCTGCTCCATAGTTATTAGCTAGATGGCTTCTTCTCTCTCTTTGGATCTCAATACAAAGTTCTCCTCAATTCTCTTGGTGATCTATTCGATGTAATTCTTTTTGCGGTGTGTATGTCGAGATCCGATGAATTGTGGGTTTATAATCAAGATTATCTATGAACAATATTTGATTCTTCTCTAAAATCTTTTATGCATGATTTAAATATCTTTGCGAGTCTCTTCGAATTATCAGTTTGGTTTGGCCTACTAGATTGATCGTTCTTGCAATGGGAGAAGTGCTTAGCTTTGGGTTCAATCTTGCGGTGTCCTTTCCCAGTGACAGCAGGGGAGCAAGGCACGCATTATATTGTTGCCATCGAGGATAAAAAGATGGGGTTTATATCATATTGCTTGGGTTTATCCCTCTACATCATGTCATCTTGCCTAATGCGTTACTCTGTTCTTATGAACTTAATACTCTAGATGCATGCTGGATAGCGGTCATTGTCTGGAGTAATAGTAGTAGATGCAGAATTGTTTCGGTCTACTTGTCGCGGATGTGATGCCTATATACATGATCATGCCTAGATATTCTCATAAGTATTCGCTTTTCTATCGATTGCTCGACAGTAATTTGTTCACCCACCGTAGAATTTGCTATCTTGAGAGAAGCCACTAGTGAAACCAATGGCCCCCGGGTCTATCTTCCATCATATTATTTTCATATCAATTTGCTATTTCTATTACCGTTTATTTTGCAATCTTTATTTTCCAATCTATATCATAAAAATACCAAAAATATTTATCTTATTATCTCTATCAGATCTCATATTCGTAAGTGACCGTGAAGGGATTGACAACCCCTTTATCGTGTTGGTTGCGAGGTTCTTGTCTGTTTGTGCAGGTACTAGGTGACTTGTGTGTTACCTCCTACTGGATTGATACCTTGGTTCTCAAAAACTAAGGGAAATACTTACACTACTGTACTGCATCACCCTTTCCTCTTTAAGGAAAAACCAACGCATGCTCAAGAGGTAGCAAGGCACATGTCAACAAAGAGAGGTTCAGATCATACAAGTTCGCCAAAACTCGGGTACAACAACATCGTCGGCCATGCATGGTGGTGAAGACAAGGTGGTCGTCCGCCGTAGAGGAGGTAGTAGAATCAGGCGGATGGACAACGAGGACATAGTCGATTAGAAGCAAGCAGTGGTGCCGAGACGGTCCCCAAAAACCTTATGGCCTCTCACCCGGTTCAGGTTTTCTAGGTACGCGATTTTGGAGGCCTGCTCTCTTGGATGAATGTGCATGGGGTTTCCGAGATGGTTTCACCGGAGAAGCAACTTAGGACAAGAAACTAGCCCAGTGTGTGTGTTTGTTCTAATGCTATGTCTTCTCTGTAGCCTCTCTCCACGGTATTGCCTCTACATAGAGTGGACGCGTGGGAGAGTGGAGAAATGCAACTCATGAGTGGTGAAAGAAAATTGTGGATGTAAAAAGTGTGTCCATGATGTGCTCGATTATTGACACGTACACTTAAGAGTTAGGCAGTGCACTACCATGTCAAATTTTAGTTCTTCCAACAAGGCACATAACATTAGTTTGAACTTAAACTTGATTCACAAAATGTGATGCGTGTGTGTTGCATGGCATGAAGTGAGCGATTGAGCATGCACTTTATTGCTCTATTTTCTCATGCACAAGGAGTACTGGAACCATCCACCTTACATGTTGGTGTTTCTTCAACTCAACTAGCAGTATGAGACTAAACTTACACACAAGTCATGTATTTGAATGAGCCTCTGAGATTTTTGTATTTTTTTGCAAAAAGAGATTTCAAAACTTAAGTTGGGCCGAGATACAAGATTTAGTTAGATGAGATCCATAAAATTTTAAAATGTGTCCATCAACATGCTTTTGTTGGGCGACAAGCTGGCGGTGTTCTAGCTCTGCACTCTTTCTTCCCTTTGGCAAAAACAATGCGGCTCTGAATTCCTTCGGCCAAAACAATGTGGTTCTATGAGAACATCTCCAACAGATGATGAAAAAATCACATGTTCGCGAAACGGTCGTTTAGGGCATTTTGGGCCCAAAACAATGCTCTAGCAAATGATATATCTTTAAATGCTGATGATTTTCTGGGGGAGGGGGGATAACCCAAAATTTTGGCTCATGTTGTTGCATATTACTGAAAAAGGCTTTCGTGCCGCTTTATATATAAAGAAACCTACCAGATCACAAGGTTCGACAAACGTTCACACCGCACACACACACACAAAAGTACCAGACAAATAGAGTACACATGGTTCTGCTGAGGGCACAGCTCAACAAGCCCTATAAGAAGATGAAAAGAAAAGCGGTGGCACAGGCCTCGAGGCCGCTAATACGGCTCAGGTGGTGATGGAGGAAGCGACAACGCCAAGCGGGCAGCCATCGAGCGAAGATCTGCAATGATGATGTTGATGACGTCTTGATCCTGGGCCGGCTAAGCGGCCACCAAAGCTGCAAGTAACCACACATTTTGAAAATAACGTCAGTAACATGTCGTAGAGGAACACGATGGATCATAAGTTTATTACGCACGGTCCAAAGAGTCCAAGCAAGGACCCCAATACACAACCACCTAATATGGCGGTCATGCTAAGGGGTGGCCTGGATTTCCGCAAAGAGGTTGAGGAAGTTGTTGTTGCATGATATCTACTACACAACCTTCTTCTTGTAGACGTTGTTGGCCCTCCAAGTGCAGAGGTTTGTAGGACAGTAGCAAATTTCTCTCAAGTGGATGACCTAAGGTTTATCAATCCATGGGAGGCATAGAATGAAGATGGTCTCTCTCAAACAACCCTGCAACCAAATAACAAAGAGTCTCTTGTGTCCCCAACACACCCAATACAATGGTAAATTGTATAGGTGCACTAGTTCGGCGAAGAGATGGTGATACAAGTGCAATATGGATGGTAGATATAGGTTTTTGTAATCTGAAAATATAAAAACAGCAAGGTAGCAAATGATAAAAGTGAGTGAAAATGGTATTGCAATGCATTGAAACAAGGCCTAGGGTTCATACTTTCATCAGTGCAAATTCTCTCAACAATAATAACACAATTGGATCATATAAAAATCCCTTAACATGCAACAAAGAGTCACTCCAAAGTCACTAATAGCGGAGAACAAACGAAGAGATTATTGTAGGGTACGAAACCACCTCAAAGTTATTTTTTCTGATCGATTTAATATCTTTCATGAGTATGATGGAAAGGAAAATTGTGCCAAAGTGTTAGAAGAAGAATGCATTAAAATGTTCGGCACTAAATCTTTGAATGATGAGCATGATTGCAATGTTGTTAGTATGAATTCTTTGAATATCCATGATGCTAATGATATGCAAAGCAACAACCTTGGGGAAGCTATCTTTGATGAAGATGGTATTTTTTGTCTCCCAAGTTTTGATGAGCAAATTTATTATGATGATAGCATGCCTCCTATTTATGATGATTATATTGATGAAAGTGGGTTTGGAAGAGTGTCAACTTTAGGAAGTGAAGATCCCACTATTTTGGAAGATGTTGAATCTTCTTGTGATAGTTATAAAAGTGGATTTGGAGAGGTCATGATTTTATTTAGTAATGATTCCACTATCTCGGAAGAGGTTCCAATTGATTATGAGAATAAAGTTGCTATCTATGATGATTATTGTGATGACTTGTATGCTATTAAGAATAATGATAACCATGAAACTTGTCATCATGATTTTAGTTTTCAATTGGATTATGCCTCATATGGTAATTATTTTGTTGACTTTGCTCCCACTATTATTCATGAGAAGAAATTCGTTTATG